TTTTGAAAATGAACTAAAAGAGAAATTACTTGCACGTTATACAGTAGTATTCTTTCCGATTCAAAGTAATATTTTTGTTCTTTAATAACAGAAACCAGGTTAGTTATGTTTGTAATAGTGTCAATAGTGCCGATCTTTAAGCGAAGGATATTCACACGCAAAGTTATTTATAGATTATTTCAGTTGAACGTGTGAACTTTTCAAAAATGCAAAAATGCTCACGCATGCGCACTCCTAGATTGTCTAGGCGTCTCCTGGCCGTTCGTCTTGGATATGTCACCGAAATGTATTGACCGAGAACGGCCTGGAAAGACGCCGTATAGGGACTAGGCAAACTCTGACCCAGATCGAGGGACTTAAGGGTGACAACGAAGAGCACTTTCCTATGAGACTTCCATAATATGGAAAAACCGTGTCGATGCGGTCAACGGCAATGCCAAAAACTGCAATAAGGTTTTTTAAACGCTCTACCTGTTTGTTTCACTTTTCGATAAATTTCCTCGCCGTCAATGCGTCGACTACGACGAAAAATTTCCTCAGTTTACGTGAACAATGGTCGACGGTAAAACAAGAAGACGATTTTCTTTATCATGTTTTGAACTGACCTAAACTTCGATACAAAATTAGGAGTTTTCCCTCCAACAAAATTCACCCATGCATTTAGCAAAAATGCTCGAGGAAAGGGTTGAGCTCAGCCGGTTCCTAATTTTCTATTTCATCAGTAACGTCCTTGTCTACGCACCAATTCTTCCAAACTGAGAGCCAAAAACCAGTGCTTTTCGCAGTTTTTTCGTTTTTAGAGTAGTTTTTCAGCTCCTTTACAGTTGTTTCGGTCGCAAAAGTAAATGTGCTGCAAACGCCAACCATTGCGGTTTTTTCTCGAAATTGGTCCGGAGCGGATCCAAATTTTGCGCCATTTAGATGACGCATTTGATTGGCTCTCTGTGAGTTCCTTTGTTTATTAGCCAATCAGAGTGTCACGTTTGTTACTCTTTTCTGCACTCAATTACCTTTATTCTGCACCGTGTTACCTAAACTGCATTTATCTTAGCCAATCACAATCGAGAAATTTTTTCATGTATATTATTGACAAATAAAACCAAGTGTTCAGGGACACCCGAGAGCCGTCACACAAATACATGGCCATCCCCAAGTCCAGATGAAAGAAATGACTCCACGGAAAACTCAAACAGCGCGAAAAGGAATAAGATTAGGCACATTAAACACAAGAAATTAAAATAGAGTTTATGTAACGTAAATATATTATAAACTAAGGTAATATATGGTAGTTTGGTCTTCTAGCTGAATTTATTTCTCCAATAAGTTTGTAATTAAGTCAAATCAATAAACCTGAATCCTTTTTTCACCAATGACTATGTAGTTTGTTGACGAGATGTATCCGGCAAACTTGATAAAGCATGATGGGACTTGTTTTATAGGCTGATACTAGATTCCGGTGTATAAAGCTACCCTGAGGCTGGCCGTTTTTTACCTGTGAGGGGGAGTGGATGCCCGCCATTTTGCTTCGTTAGCTACACAAATGGATCAACTTTCAGAATTGACACGAAAAATCGACTCTCATGTTTGGTTTTCCGCCACTCGATTATTCTCTCCACCTCGTACAGCTCCCTTCTTTTAGTTTTGGATTTTCTGCTGGATCGACGTGAAATATTATAAAGCTGTGCGGAATCTACGAGGAAAGCACTGTAATGAGTACCGCAAATGATCCCCAGACCGCAAACGATCCCCAAAATGGACCGCAAATGATCCTTGACCGCAAGTGATCCCCAAAGTTGACCGCAAATGATCCCGTGAAAACTTGAGGAATGGAATGGATTTTATGGGACTGATTACAAAAAGGACTGATTATAAAAAAAGGAACTTTTTTCTCGCGCCTTCTAAAGAAAAAGGGAGGGAGGACGCTTCGTCTCAGGTCAATTTATACAAGGCCAAAAAAAAGTAGAATAAATCTGAAAAGGATATGGTATCAACCGTATACTTCTTCCATTGTCAATTGCTCAATTTTCTTTAAAGAACTGTTTCGTCGCTGAAAATTTAAGACAGGCAGGACGTTACGCAGAAAATTCTATTATTTTAACGCCCAAGCTCAACTTGTCCACTGGGAGTAATGCAAAGCCGGGCACCCTCTACATAACAAGAGCTTTATTGACTTTACTGATCTTTTTAGAAGTGTCCAATTAATTTTCAGAATATTTAGTTTTGATTTTTCTGTGAAGTGTTAATTTTACGTGATAAACAGCAAGACATTGGTTCGTAACTTAGGAGTGTCCCAGGCCTGGGAGTGCCCGTTACGAAACAAGACATGATTTGAAATAAACACACGTCAAAATGCCCCCGAACTTATCAATGTCCACAGGTTTCGGTTTACTTTGAAAGAGCAACTTGCTTACAGCTCATGAACATGTTGCGAATAGTTATATTGACGCTTATATGTATATCCATTTGTTGTGTCTCTGCTGGAGACAGTTACCAAGAATCTAAACCTGGTAATGAGAAACGCAAAAGCGAGGCAAGCGGTAGTTATCGAGTGGCAAAACATCGTAGGAACCGTCACATTCACGGACTAAAAAAAAGTCGCTTATAATTATTCGGATTCTTGAGGCACTTTAAAGAAAATTAAACAACCTAAAACCCTTATTTAGCCGCAATGAAAAGCATTGCATTTGAAAGAGGTCGAAGGAAATGCTTGCATTAAAGGACAAATCATGCCGACCAGAAACAACAATAACTGCCGAAAATGCGTGACCTCTCAGTATGAAATAAGCGGCAAAAATCACATTTGCTCAGACAAAACGTTTTCCTTCAGAGGTATAATCTACCCACCAGAGAGAAAATTCATTGGAACAAGCAGCATTTTGGCATGAGGTAAAAGTCGTGTGTTGCCTACCGACTTCGTTTCTACACTTGAATGATTTTTTCATTTCGTTTTTATTCATGTATTTATTTTAGAACTGAAAAATTTTTTGTAACAATAATGAAATAGAGACGATGATCCGCTAACTCGAGTCTAAGCCATTCCTATTTTTCTTTCGGGATCATTTGCCGTCAACTTTGGGGATCACTTGCGGTCGAGGATCATTTGCGGTCCATTTTGGGAATCATTTGCGGTCTCGGGATCATTTGCGGTTGGGGATCACTTGCGGTACTGTACAGCACGCTTTTTGTCCGCCATATTGGATTCTCTGTTGTTAAGAAGAAAGCCGCATGCCAAAGCGCGGGCTCAAATGACCGTGATTTCTGGCCATGGGATCATTAATATTTTCAAAATCTTGATTGACTTGGGGTTGTCCTTTTCAGATAAGGGAGCGTTACCTGGAGGGCCGTTTCAATAAATTTCATGAAAGTAATACAAAGGCAGTAGCAAATTAAGAATTTATTCATGCTTAATTAGCGTGCGTATATCGAGTTATGGATGCACGCGGGAAGTTTGGNAAAATTAAGAATTTGTTCATGCTTAGCGTGCGTATATCGAGTTATGGATGCACGCGGGAAGTTTGGAGAGCACGAAAGATGCGTAAGAGTTGCACGAGGCGATAGCCGAGTGCAACTCTAGCTTCTTGAGTGCTCTCCAAACTTCCCAAGTGCATCCATAACTCGATATACGCACAGCTAAAAGCATGAGCAAATTCTTTTATAACATAGCTGACAAAAATGCTTGCTTTTTGATTAACTGCAAAATTCTCGTAACGCGCGACACAATAACAAACGGTTCTATTGGCTGATTACGAACACGCCACAATCGTTTAGTTTGAATGAAAATATTCTTTCTGTGAAAGTGAGAAAGAAAATTTGCTTCTTTATTGTTAACGATCAATGGAAACTAAGCAGAAACAAAGGTAAAAGAGTCTAAAAAGAAGAGTTTAAAATACTAACATGTTCGTAAGAAGTTGCGGAGTATGGTTCTGATTTGCTGAAAAGATGTTTACGTTTTGCTCGGCGAAATCCAGAAAACATGTTTTTTAGCGAAGAAGACTGTCATCCTTCTTTAAACTTATATTCATTTACGAACATTGGCTGGTCATTACGGCTTCTTGAGAAGACCTGGCAGCAGTTGTTTTTGTGAGTAATAAATTTATGTCTTCTTGTGTAATTTGTGTTGTTATTGCAACACAATTTTCCTGCTTAAGTCGGATTGTACGGATATAACAAAGTGCATAACAAATTTAAAAACAACAATAAAAACGGAGATTTTGCCTTTAAGTGTTGTTGATGACCAGTTGGTGTTTGTTCTGTTCCCAGTGAATGTCTTTCAGCAAAACATTTGCTGCAGCTCGTCTTCGACCAATTTGCGAAACGCTCAACTTGCGAGTTTTTTTTAATTCGGCTTCATTTTTGCTGCTTGTTGGATCGGGACCTAAAAGGTCAATGCCGATAGAAAAATTGGGCAGTTCTTCGCTGGTTTCTTCCATATTTTAAAGAGAAGGAAAAGTGCACTGCAGCTTAAAAGACGACAACTTTGCAGCCAGGTAAAAAAAAAAAAAATGCTGACGTCATCTTATTTACGCACGGGCGTGCGTAAATAAAGATTTTGTTCATAGCGGCTCAATAGGACTTATATAGGGCAAGCACGTGCGCTATGTTATAAATTGAAATTAAATTCAACAGCCGGGAATGGTATACGCCGATCTTAAAAACACTACTGCAGATAAAGTACTGTCAAACCTCCCGTAAGCGACCACCCAAAATGCAAAGACTTAGTGGTCACTTGCGGGAGCTGGTCGCTTACAAGAATCGAACCATAGGGAGCCTCATCCGAGAAGAGGTTCTGGCACATTTACCTTATGGAAGACAATTTATTACGCCATGTGTAGTTCCATGTTGTCACTAAAGTTCTTCGTATATTCAAAGCAACACAGTGCACACAGCGAGCAACAAGACTGAGAGAATGCGTCAAGTGGTCGCTTACAAGAGGTTAAAAAACTGAAAAATCAGTAAGCTTTCAGGCCCAAAAGGTGGTCGCGGTCGCTTACATTTTGATGTTTTCGCTCGACAGTCGTTTATGGGAGGTGGTTGCTCATGGAAGTTCGATTGTAGGTGGTGAACTTCGGCAAGATTTGTAGCTAGAATATTCGTAGTTTCCATAGCAATGCAAATGGAAATCAGCTTTTGTTGTATGTGGCGAGCGGAGTTAAATAACTTTGTTGTTGTTGTTGTCGTTAACGAAGCTTACATTAAGTAAGCCTCGTTTACTTTACTGGCTGTTGTTTAGTGATAAGCTTCAGAAAGAAAGGGCTCGGATATTCGTCGTCGCATACGTGTAGTTACAGAATTCAGTATTAACTAGTTGACACTACAGCTGTCTCCGCTCTGAATATTGTCGGTCAATAGTATTCTTGCTCGTTGTGAAGCTCTTTGAAATATACCGATTCATAAGGAAGATTTTCACACATATTCCATACAATAGGTGAGATAGGAAACGCAAGGTTCCATGCACAGTTTCAGGTCGATTAACACAGCTTTGATCAAAACATTCTCAGTTTCGAGAATAGTTTATTCTAAACCATTTTTAAGAAAAGATTTAATTAGAAGTTGAATTTTTCTTTATTTCTCTTTCACTTTTTACATTCAGTTCATTTTATTTGCCGGAAAGGAAGCCTTAGAAATTAAAAGGACGTTTGATCAATTCACACTCGCGCATTCTGGCTTATTTTAAACTTTATAGCGGAAGGACATTCAGCAAGACATTGGTTCGTAACTTAGGAGTGTCCCAGGCCTGGGAGTGCCCGTTACGAAACAAGACATGATTTGAAATAAACACACGTCAAAATGCCCCCGAACTTATCAATGTCCACAGGTTTCGGTTTACTTTGAAAGAGCAACTTGCTTACAGCTCATGAACATGTTGCGAATAGTTATATTGACGCTTATATGTATATCCATTTGTTGTGTCTCTGCTGGAGACAGTTACCAAGAATCTAAACCTGGTAATGAGAAACGCAAAAGCGAGGCAAGCGGTAGTTATCGAGTGGCAAAACATCGTAGGAACCGTCACATTCACGGACTAAAAAAAAGTCGCTTATAATTATTCGGATTCTTGAGGCACTTTAAAGAAAATTAAACAACCTAAAACCCTTATTTAGCCGCAATGAAAAGCATTGCATTTGAAAGAGGTCGAAGGAAATGCTTGCATTAAAGGACAAATCATGCCGACCAGAAACAACAATAACTGCCGAAAATGCGTGACCTCTCAGTATGAAATAAGCGGCAAAAATCACATTTGCTCAGACAAAACGTTTTCCTTCAGAGGTATAATCTACCCACCAGAGAGAAAATTCATTGGAACAAGCAGCATTTTGGCATGAGGTAAAAGTCGTGTGTTGCCTACCGACTTCGTTTCTACACTTGAATGATTTTTTCATTTCGTTTTTATTCATGTATTTATTTTAGAACTGAAAAATTTTTTGTAACAATAATGAAATAGAGACGATGATCCGCTAACTCGAGTCTAAGCCATTCCTATTTTTCTTTCGGGATCATTTGCCGTCAACTTTGGGGATCACTTGCGGTCGAGGATCATTTGCGGTCCATTTTGGGAATCATTTGCGGTCTCGGGATCATTTGCGGTTGGGGATCACTTGCGGTACTGTACAGCACGCTTTTTGTCCGCCATATTGGATTCTCTGTTGTTAAGAAGAAAGCCGCATGCCAAAGCGCGGGCTCAAATGACCGTGATTTCTGGCCATGGGATCATTAATATTTTCAAAATCTTGATTGACTTGGGGTTGTCCTTTTCAGATAAGGGAGCGTTACCTGGAGGGCCGTTTCAATAAATTTCATGAAAGTAATACAAAGGCAGTAGCAAATTAAGAATTTATTCATGCTTAATTAGCGTGCGTATATCGAGTTATGGATGCACGCGGGAAGTTTGGAGAGCACGAAAGATGCGTAAGAGTTGCACGAGGCGATAGCCGAGTGCAACTCTACCTTCTTGAGTGCTCTCCAAACTTCCCAAGTGCATCCATAACTCGATATACGCACAGCTAAAAGCATGAGCAAATTCTTTTATAACATAGCTGACAAAAATGCTTGCTTTTTGATTAACTGCAAAATTCTCGTAACGCGCGACACAATAACAAACGGTTCTATTGGCTGATTACGAACACGCCACAATCGTTTAGTTTGAATGAAAATATTCTTTCTGTGAAAGTGAGAAAGAAAATTTGCTTCTTTATTGTTAACGATCAATGGAAACTAAGCAGAAACAAAGGTAAAAGAGTCTAAAAAGAAGAGTTTAAAATACTAACATGTTCGTAAGAAGTTGCGGAGTATGGTTCTGATTTGCTGAAAAGATGTTTACGTTTTGCTCGGCGAAATCCAGAAAACATGTTTTTTAGCGAAGAAGACTGTCATCCTTCTTTAAACTTATATTCATTTACGAACATTGGCTGGTCATTACGGCTTCTTGAGAAGACCTGGCAGCAGTTGTTTTTGTGAGTAATAAATTTATGTCTTCTTGTGTAATTTGTGTTGTTATTGCAACACAATTTTCCTGCTTAAGTCGGATTGTACGGATATAACAAAGTGCATAACAAATTTAAAAACAACAATAAAAACGGAGATTTTGCCTTTAAGTGTTGTTGATGACCAGTTGGTGTTTGTTCTGTTCCCAGTGAATGTCTTTCAGCAAAACATTTGCTGCAGCTCGTCTTCGACCAATTTGCGAAACGCTCAACTTGCGAGTTTTTTTTAATTCGGCTTCATTTTTGCTGCTTGTTGGATCGGGACCTAAAAGGTCAATGCCGATAGAAAAATTGGGCAGTTCTTCGCTGGTTTCTTCCATATTTTAAAGAGAAGGAAAAGTGCACTGCAGCTTAAAAGACGACAACTTTGCAGCCAGGTAAAAAAAAAAAATGCTGACGTCATCTTATTTACGCACGGGCGTGCGTAAATAAAGATTTTGTTCATAGCGGCTCAATAGGACTTATATAGGGCAAGCACGTGCGCTATGTTATAAATTGAAATTAAATTCAACAGCCGGGAATGGTATACGCCGATCTTAAAAACACTACTGCAGATAAAGTACTGTCAAACCTCCCGTAAGCGACCACCCAAAATGCAAAGACTTAGTGGTCACTTGCGGGAGCTGGTCGCTTACAAGAATCGAACCATAGGGAGCCTCATCCGAGAAGAGGTTCTGGCACATTTACCTTATGGAAGACAATTTATTACGCCATGTGTAGTTCCATGTTGTCACTAAAGTTCTTCGTATATTCAAAGCAACACAGTGCACACAGCGAGCAACAAGACTGAGAGAATGCGTCAAGTGGTCGCTTACAAGAGGTTAAAAAACTGAAAAATCAGTAAGCTTTCAGGCCCAAAAGGTGGTCGCGGTCGCTTACATTTTGATGTTTTCGCTCGACAGTCGTTTATGGGAGGTGGTTGCTCATGGAAGTTCGATTGTAGGTGGTGAACTTCGGCAAGATTTGTAGCTAGAATATTCGTAGTTTCCATAGCAATGCAAATGGAAATCAGCTTTTGTTGTATGTGGCGAGCGGAGTTAAATAACTTTGTTGTTGTTGTTGTCGTTAACGAAGCTTACATTAAGTAAGCCTCGTTTACTTTACTGGCTGTTGTTTAGTGATAAGCTTCAGAAAGAAAGGGCTCGGATATTCGTCGTCGCATACGTGTAGTTACAGAATTCAGTATTAACTAGTTGACACTACAGCTGTCTCCGCTCTGAATATTGTCGGTCAATAGTATTCTTGCTCGTTGTGAAGCTCTTTGAAATATACCGATTCATAAGGAAGATTTTCACACATATTCCATACAATAGGTGAGATAGGAAACGCAAGGTTCCATGCACAGTTTCAGGTCGATTAACACAGCTTTGATCAAAACATTCTCAGTTTCGAGAATAGTTTATTCTAAACCATTTTTAAGAAAAGATTTAATTAGAAGTTGAATTTTTCTTTATTTCTCTTTCACTTTTTACATTCAGTTCATTTTATTTGCCGGAAAGGAAGCCTTAGAAATTAAAAGGACGTTTGATCAATTCACACTCGCGCATTCTGGCTTATTTTAAACTTTATAGCGGAAGGACATCTGTGAGCAGGGAAAAAGTCAGCACAGAATTTGATTGTCGGCGAATTTCTGTAATCGTCCATCGTTCTACTAGTGAGAAGCTACCCGTTGTTCACTCGTCTTGCTTGTTTGGGGCTGAGTCTTATTCTTGTCAAAGAGAGAGAAAGAGTTTCTGGCAAGGTTTCCAATGAAAGATTTGTGAACTCGTGTCTGGCAAACTCTCCAAGTTATTATATATACACAGTTATACGCACCTTATAACTTCTTCTGCACTTAACGAGTGTCGTTAAAATTTTGGTCCATAACTTTCACTGAAACAACTGCTCCACAGAATGTCACTGATAACACGTAACGCAAAAGGGTGTCGAAGTATGACTGCACAACAGGAGCCCATCAAATGGAGCCTCCATCTCCCATACAAGCCCTTGGAGTCAACCCTTTCCCGAGTAGATTTATAATTAGAACGGTTCCCAGGGGAGACTTTGCGCGCCGACGGTGGGAAGAGCCAATCACAACGACGAAATGACACTGCTATTGTACTTCATCAAACAGCAGGAAATTCGGTGTTGACAGGCCAAACACAATCATAAGCTAGTGGAACGTGACTTTAGCGTTTTCATCCCTCAGAGATTTTCTTTTTTTCTTTCTAGCGGGTAGATTATACTGTGGAGAGTTTTAAACTCTGACTATGTTAATCTTAATTTTGGTTGCTTGTTTCACATTAAGAGGCCATGAAGATGGTCTGGTCTGTTCCATGCGTAATGATTAACTACTACCTGCAGTCTGTAGTTCTGACAGGATTCTTTTTTTTTAGCCAATTTTTTGGAGCGTTAAGGTTCTTATTTCGGCTAAATGACTCAATATTAATCAAATTTCTAGTTTTTCAAGTTTTTTTTTCCGAAATGGGTTTATCTGAATAAATACTTGTAGTCATTGTGATTGTTTTGTCCGTCAGCTAGTGTGATGATTCCCTGCTATGTTGTAACGCCGGGCCCAGCCATTGTTTTCTCGCACAAAAAGTGATCTAGAGATGCGAATTCGAAGGAAGGAATTGAGCCTAAACATCTACATTAACTGCTGAGAATTGTCCTGTTAGTCAGTCAAAATTGATACAATCCATTTTGTTTTTCTTGAGATATGTGGGTCTTTGGACTGGAGCGCGATGTCACAAATTCCTTTCGAATTTCGAACAACTGTTGTCTTCTGGTCAACTTTTCAAGTGCCAATTTTATCAGGCAACTCTCACGGTGATACAAGTCAGTTGTAAAGGAAGACTGCAATTTCTCAAATTTCGGAACTGAAGCATTCCTCGTTAGTAGCTACTTAGGTCATCGCTTTTGCACGCGGTGCTTACCTGGCGAAATTCACTCCACGGTGATCACAAAAATCAAATGATCCCGGCACTTTTTCGGCGCTGATCATCCAAAAGTTCCAAATCGTCCACAGAACGCTTAATCGTCGACTCTTTTCAAGGTGCATACTTAAATATGGGATGTATGACGGCAAAAAAAAAAAAGAACACTCGCAAAGATAAACCCTTTTGCAGCCTTTGTCTCATCGCTTCATGCTCACTCTCAGTCGAGTAATTCATTAACTTTTATTTCATGATACCCAGATCCCAGCGGCTGTAAAATAGTAAAAATGGACGTAAAGGAAAAAAGGAAAACGGTCGAAGGGCGGGCTTCTGAGTTCGACTTCATCTAATTTTATTTTTTCACGGTGCGGTGACACACGGGACTCACAGAAATATGACACTTTTCGCGCGAAACTAGCCGTTCTATTTATAAATCTACTCGGGAAAGGGTTGACTCAAGAAATTAATGGAGATGGAGGCTCCACTGCACAATAAATGTCACAAAATCTACCTGAGCGGTCCCTTCGGGATGTTCTGTCTTTACGTCATCCTAACCATTTCTTACTTGCGGGCGCAAACAATAGAAACGTCATCATTACCTACTGATTCTTGCGGCCCCTGTTCAAGCAAATCGAGATTTTTTCTATATTGACTGTATGACTGTATATTTCAACTGTAAGTACTTTCCTTGATATACTTAGGCGAGTTACTAGAGTGCCTCCTCGGGATTTCGCCTTCTGGGCGAAATCCCTGTGGGAGCAATTACAGGGAATGGATCGCCAAAATTCTGTTTTTGCCGCTCAAGTATCACTTAGGGATGTCAAGAAAAGGTAAGCAAAAAAGAAGAGAGGAGAGAAAATAACTTAATGACAACTGCTCTCTTTATTGCAATATAATTTACGGCTACACTGGTTACATGGCTGGCCTATTTTCTACTTGAATTATTTAGAGGTTAAACAATGTAGCTGGCAACGCGCAAGGCCCGGCTTTCTTCGGGTTTAATTTTAGTTTTTTCTGGTCAGCATCACCACCTTTTTTCCGACATAAAATCTTCCAACCTCGTCCTCAGCAGGTTGGGAGTCTTCGCTAGGCGTTTCCCATGAAGTTATGTACTAAGTAACGCAGTCAATCTTCCCCCCCCCCCCTCCCCGGGAGTCAGTATCGTGTTATTTGATTAATTGACTATTAGCTTTGGCAATCACTCGATACTGTTCGATGTTAGCACGTCGTGGTGGCTGCATTGGTATAATTATATATCGGCTCCATGGAACTGCAAACAGACTGCTAGCGGTCAAGATCCTCCAATTTTTAATTGCTTATTCATTACCGTGGGGGACAATAATTGTATTAACTGGTAATGTACACTGCCAATGTTAGTGACTAGTGTAAGAAATATTAACGGTAGCATCATAACTTAAATAATCCTATTCCTTTCTTTGTATAGAATGCGATACAACATTAACGTTACAAGTAAAAAATAATTTAAAAATAGGAAAATTACCTTAAATTGATAAAATGATGTCATACCGCATTAAATAAAACCACATCAGTGGCGTAGCCAGCCTATAGACCTGTAGGCCCGGGCCTACAAAATGTTTGGTTTTATCACTCTACCGTTTGTAATAAATTATACGTTGTTGGGGTGAGCTAAAAAGCTTAGAGCGCAAAGTGTTGGTGCGTACTAGTCATGTGTGCAGTTTTCAGCATATGTGGAAAAGAAAGTCAACCGGGGCTACAAAAAGTCGAAAAGCTGGCTACGCCCCTGCACATTCAGTTCTGTCGCATTAACTTATCATCCCTTAATTTTCTGTTTAAAGAAGCATTTTCGGTCATCTGGTGAGTTAACTTTCACTACATACAAGTTGCCATTACAACTGCGAGTGAGACACATCGTATGCATACTACGTCGTATAAAAAACCCATGATATTTATTTTTTTCCCCTGGGTGATCATGATCTTTCAACTCCTTAAATTTAAACCAAACGTCTTTGCCTCCTTTTTCACAGGAAACATTCTGTGAAAGTAACAGATAAAAAATTAATTATTATTATTATTGTTGTTATTATTATTATTTACTTATTTATTTGTTCATTTTTTTTACGATAGACTCTTACAATAAGCCAGAAAATTACAAAAAGTAATGCAAGAATACAGTCGACTCCTGATAACTCGAACCTCCCGCTACCTCGAAGTAATTTTTGTTTCCCCTCTGATCATTCTATACAATTATTTTACCCTCGATAACTCCAACCATAGTTTTAAGCGCGTGACATTAATTAGGCGAAAAAAAAACAAAAACAGTTTAACTGTATTTCAAAACATTGAATTTATTTCAAAACAACCGTGCATTTTTTATCTTTACTTTTTATTTAGTCCAATTTAAATATAATGTTTATCCCTGTACTGATTAATCGAGCTTTTTTTTTGTCCAAAAAAATATATATTTTTCTTGTTGCCCTTGAAGTGGAGTGTGGTTGATACTTGCATTCCTCTTGATTCGCCTTAAAGGTTTGAGTTATCGGGAACTAATTTATCAAATCTAGTGCAGTAAAGGATAATCGGAAGGTCCATTTTTAAAAAGGATGATTGTTTCACAATTGTAAGTCTTATACTAAGCCTTATACTCACTCACCACGAAGCTGACATTGTTTCCTTGTACCATAAGTGAATAGATGTNTCCCCCCCCCCCCTCCCCGGGAGTCAGTATCGTGTTATTTGATTAATTGACTATTAGCTTTGGCAATCACTCGATACTGTTCGATGTTAGCACGTCGTGGTGGCTGCATTGGTATAATTATATATCGGCTCCATGGAACTGCAAACAGACTGCTAGCGGTCAAGATCCTCCAATTTTTAATTGCTTATTCATTACCGTGGGGGACAATAATTGTATTAACTGGTAATGTACACTGCCAATGTTAGTGACTAGTGTAAGAAATATTAACGGTAGCATCATAACTTAAATAATCCTATTCCTTTCTTTGTATAGAATGCGATACAACATTAACGTTACAAGTAAAAAATAATTTAAAAATAGGAAAATTACCTTAAATTGATAAAATGATGTCATACCGCATTAAATAAAACCACATCAGTGGCGTAGCCAGCCTATAGACCTGTAGGCCCGGGCCTACAAAATGTTTGGTTTTATCACTCTACCGTTTGTAATAAATTATACGTTGTTGGGGTGAGCTAAAAAGCTTAGAGCGCAAAGTGTTGGTGCGTACTAGTCATGTGTGCAGTTTTCAGCATATGTGGAAAAGAAAGTCAACCGGGGCTACAAAAAGTCGAAAAGCTGGCTACGCCCCTGCACATTCAGTTCTGTCGCATTAACTTATCATCCCTTAATTTTCTGTTTAAAGAAGCATTTTCGGTCATCTGGTGAGTTAACTTTCACTACATACAAGTTGCCATTACAACTGCGAGTGAGACACATCGTATGCATACTACGTCGTATAAAAAACCCATGATATTTATTTTTTTCCCCTGGGTGATCATGATCTTTCAACTCCTTAAATTTAAACCAAACGTCTTTGCCTCCTTTTTCACAGGAAACATTCTGTGAAAGTAACAGATAAAAAATTAATTATTATTATTATTGTTGTTATTATTATTATTTACTTATTTATTTGTTCATTTTTTTTACGATAGACTCTTACAATAAGCCAGAAAATTACAAAAAGTAATGCAAGAATACAGTCGACTCCTGATAACTCGAACCTCCCGCTACCTCGAAGTAATTTTTGTTTCCCCTCTGATCATTCTATACAATTATTTTACCCTCGATAACTCCAACCATAGTTTTAAGCGCGTGACATTAATTAGGCGAAAAAAAAACAAAAACAGTTTAACTGTATTTCAAAACATTGAATTTATTTCAAAACAACCGTGCATTTTTTATCTTTACTTTTTATTTAGTCCAATTTAAATATAATGTTTATCCCTGTACTGATTAATCGAGCTTTTTTTTTGTCCAAAAAAATATATATTTTTCTTGTTGCCCTTGAAGTGGAGTGTGGTTGATACTTGCATTCCTCTTGATTCGCCTTAAAGGTTTGAGTTATCGGGAACTAATTTATCAAATCTAGTGCAGTAAAGGATAATCGGAAGGTCCATTTTTAAAAAGGATGATTGTTTCACAATTGTAAGTCTTATACTAAGCCTTATACTCACTCACCACGAAGCTGACATTGTTTCCTTGTACCATAAGTGAATAGATGTTGTTGAAAGAGATACATCTCAGCTTGCTGAGCTTATTATTTTTAGGTTTTTCCAACGTAAAATCTGCAGAAACATAACACCTATATATGAGCTTTATGGCATTGCACCAGTGCCTTTTAGCAAATCTCACATTTTATTTTTCTGGCAAGTGGTGACACATTCCTGATCAAACCAGAGAGAGCCAAAGGGGATAATAGGAGACAAATTTTCAATTAATCAAAATTAGGTAAAAAGAAGAATAACATTGCAAAATTAAATATTCCTAGGAGGAGTGAAAACGATTTATCCGCGGGTAAGGGGTGGGTGTATCGAAAATCATGTGTATCGCCAATAACAAAGAAATTGGACAAACCACATGGTCCCCGCAGTCGCGCGATTATCTTTGGTAATAAAATACGGCTAAATTTTCGGCTTGTAGAAATCTTTTCCATCTTAAAATGATTTTGAGATGGATAGTGACTGACGGCAGTCGAATCCGAGTGTGGGTGGTTGTGTCGGATATCATGTTGTATCGCCAATAACATAGGAATTCGGCTAGACCACAGGATCCCCGCAGTGGATTGATTGTCTTTAGTAATAAAATTTGAAATTTTTCTGCCGTCTTAAAATAATTTTGAGATAGAAAGTGGATGAGAGCAATAGAACGACATGAAGAAAACCCGCCAACATACCTGTGTTTGAATCGCTGCTCGTTTCCCCATCCGCCATTGCTTGACATTTGTTTCGCGAATTTATATTTTCACATTCCTTTATGTTTATTCTCATATAACGCCCATCATAATTGCACTCATTACTCTTTACACCTTCGTAACTAAGTCCGAGAGAGTATACTTCCTCAGCAAACAAAAAGACGAAAACCGTCTAGGAACAAAGAAAAGAGATATGATAAGTTGAAACAAAAAAGAAATCAGTCAAAATTCGAAAATAGCATAGTTACCCTTAAACTCAAAATACAGTCAAACGTCTATTTCCGGCTAACTTTCGTAAACGACCATCTCCCATAAGAAACGACCACCTGCCCACAAAACGTTCTTTCTAGTCAATGCTCAATAATTAGAACCTCTTGTAAACGACCACCTCTCACAAGATGCGACCACCCACCGAAAGAACTTTTTTCCCAGTCAATACTCAATGATTAGAACCTCTCATGAACGATCACCTCTCATACTCGACTTCGGTCACGTTTTGTCCTCAGAGTAGCATAGTTTTCCATTGTTTTTAACCTCTTGTAAGCGACCAATTTGACGCATAATGCCGTCTCGTTGCTCGCTGTATGTACTATGCCACTCAGGCTATAAGAAGAACTATGAATGTCAAAACAAAACTACACGTATACATAACTTAGAAATTGCAAGAAATAAATTCTACGGCAAAACGTAGATATGTCACGACCTCTAGGAAGAGACCCTCTGTAGTTCGATTCTTCTAAGCGACGACCTTCCGTAACTGACCCTCCCTAAACCTGTTCATTTCGGGACTTTGGGCTGCATATAAAACGATAAATGTCTTGTTTTAAATTGAAGGATCTGGATAAATTGTTCCAGGCAAACAACAGTTTTTTAAACCGTGATCAAGCACAGCCTGCAGGCATCCGTCAAGAAAACTCGTTTCATGAAACTCGGTCCCCAGATTTACAAAAGTCAAATCCAAACTTAGAACTTAAAAGTAGCATCAGGCTAGAAAAACCCGAGACTTCAAGTTCTGGTATACTCACTGCAAAAAAAACTTTCAACTTCATTTTCTTCTGTTAACAATGACTTTCACTTCAACTTCAAACTCTTTTGGCGGTGGCAGCTCGATTAAGATAAAAGTTCGACACAAATTTTATAGCTTAACCATGACGTTTTAGTACAATTGTTTAATGATGGAAGAATTCAATGTAGTTCCTTGTAAAATTTGAATTCTTGATTAACATGCTAATAAATTCTTTTGCAATTAACGTTGTTTAAACAAATAAAAAGTTTGAACAGTAAACCAGTTTAAAGGCCCAAAATCAGCGGAAGTATCCTTTTATTGGAGTGATTCAATGATCGCGAAGGTATTTAACTCTTCCTTAGCCACTTGTCATCCACCTTAGGGGCAAAAATGAGCTTGATTTTATGTCATTAATCCGGCAAGAATTACCCGATCGGTCCAGTTTCAGGGATGCTTCTTTTGTAAACTTCCCGTTGAGAGCACTGTCGAGAAAAATCTGTGGTCAAACGTCTCTTTCCGCTTGTATTGCTCATCCACTTGTATGACCGTCGAAGCGTGAGGCGTAAGAAATCATTTTTCTGGACCGATGTTCATCTATTGTGTAAACGGAGGGTTAAGTTGTCACAGATAGTCTGACTGAATTCGCGATCATGGCTTTGATGATTTTATATTGAGAAAACCTTTGGTAATTCATTTCAATGGTATTTTTGAAGAATATTCTTAAATAATTTTAAAGACATGAAATATGTTATTCGTCGTGAATAATGTGTATAAAGGGTTTCGTTCTCAATGTTTACCTAACGACCGTCACAAAGATATTGATCGCGACGAACTGCAGTACACGGTCGAAACGTCGCGATTATTATCTGTGTAACAATCGTGAGACAAACGATTAACGAAACCCTGAACCCTTCATATATCAGTTACTCAAAATTAATTACTCCCTCACCCACATCTAGTATATATGAAGTAATATAATGTTGCCTTAGAGACCTCAAGCATAGGCCGAGTAAGATGTAAAACAAACGAAAGAAATCCAAACGAATCTGAAATGTACACATCACTAGAAAATTCAGTTAAGCGAACGTTTCCTAAGGAAGTTCGAAATCAGCTATCGAAATCTTGTCTCATTTGGAATTTAAAAACCAAAACCCGCGAACTTGATCTTTCAGTGTTGTTAATTGATCGTTACAGTTTATTACTCGGAATGCTTTCTTTGTAAAATCCGAATTATTTATTATCTCATATTTTAGTTTATTTATCATATTTGTCCACATCAGCTGTATAAGCTGCCACTATCGACCTGCTGACCAAATAAACCATGTATGTATGTAGATATTCATTATCATAGATACATTTACAGGGGTATTCCTTGGAATGCTTGGTGGGTGTGCATAGAAGGCCCACAAAATCTGTGTGTAATCGATTGTCATCTTATAGTAAATGTGTTGGATTTACCATTTGCTTGACCTATAGCGATATAAATCAGTGTTAAATTAGCTAACCTGTAGTATATTGTCGTCCTTTTGCCTCAAAAGCGGTTTTTTGAGCGAATTTGAAGGATT